AGTGGGGAAAGGTTTAAGAGCCAGGGGGTGCACGTGGAGCCCCTTCTTCCCTTGCTCCCCGCCGCCTGTCTAGGCGGATCTGTGTGAGTAGTGTTTTCCTAAATAAACTGCCTTTATAATCTAAACCTGACTCCATATTGTGATCCACTTTACAAATGAGATTATATTCACTGATCTTTTCAGTCATGCATTTTATCATATAACTATACATCAAGGTATAAAATGTTACTTCAAGTTGGAAACTAAAAAGCTTAATTTCATATTTCAGAGACTTTTCTTTTTGAAAGAGGCAGGATTCACACAGTTCAGGCTGGCCTCAAACTCAGTATGTAGCTGAGAATGACCTGGAACTTCTGACTCCTGCCTCTGCTCCTCGGTGCAGGGATTACAGTGTGCACCACCACACTCATTTGAGCAGTGCTGGGGACCAAACCCAGTGCTTTAGGCATGAAGGCATGAACTCTACCAACAGAGTGCAGCCCGAGCATACACACCACGGTGCAGTATTTTATTCCTAATTTGTCATGATCTACCCACGAAGTTTTATGAAACCCGTCTTTTTATATTTACTGTAATATGTACTGGGACACAGGATGACCTTTTTATGAGTCACATATAAACTGCAGTGGTTCGTATCTGTGTTCCCCGTACTTGGGGGTAAAGACAGGAGGGTCAAGAGGTCAAAGTCATCCTTGCCTACACAGCAAGTTTGAGGCCAGTGTGACACTACACAATATTCTGCCCCAGAAAAGCAAAATAACCCTCCAAAAAGAGTATTTCTCTGGCTTTTATTTTGCCTATCTCTAAATCTTAATTTTATTTTACTGGTTACATAATTTAAAATTACTGTTTACGTGTTCTTGGTATGCTGATGGGAAAACACCACCATTGTAATTATGATGCCTTTGGGGCCCGGAAAATGGCCCAAGAGGTACAGGCACTTGCCATCACACCTGAGGATTATAGTTGGATTCTGAAACCAGCGTGGTAGAAGAGCACAGACCCCACAGGCACCATGGCGTGCACACGTCTGTGCAGCTGTGAGCAGAGGTGGTGTTCTTTAAGCTGTGCCCTCCTGGTGTTTTAGATGGGGTCTCTCATTGGTCTGGGGCTCATAGCTTGGGCTACACTGTCTGGCCAAAGAGCCCCATGGACCCACATGTGTCTGCCTCCATAGTACCGGAATCACACACTCTCTGCCATTCGGGGACCCACCTGGTCCACAGCCCCAGTGCTGGGATTACACACTCACCACCAAGCACTCAACTCTTTACTTGGGGTTCTGGGGAGGAACTCAGGCCCTCACTTACTGGGCAAGCCCTCTACCAAGTGTGCTATGGTCCCTGCCACAGTTCTACTTCTAGGTACATGGTTCTTGAAGTCATTTAAAACATGTCGAACCAGTACAGATTTCACTGTGACTTATGCTCTTACCATCTCCCTTATTAAAATCTGTTAACATTTTAAAAGTCTACTTTTTTATTCATATATAATTTACATTTTGTTATATGTGACAAAATATTCTTTTAATTAGATTCACTTAAATCATTTCTTTGAATACACTGAATTTTATTTAATATGGGACTTAAACTAAAAATTTAAGTGATGGGCAAAGAGAGGCAACCCAGTTGGCAGAGCACTTGCTAAGCATGCTCGAAGCCCTGGGCCTGGTTCCAGAACCAGGGAAGCAGGTACAAACAGAAACCCAGCACTGAGGATGTAAAGGCAAAGGATCTGAGGTTCAAGCTCAGGGAAGGAGACACTTTGAAAGTTGAGCACTTGTTGCCCAACCATGAAGGCCCCAGAAACCGACATCAATGCCAGCTGGGTGTGGTGGCCCACCTCTATCCCAGCCCCAGAAGGGAGACACAGGGCTAGCTGGCCAGCAAGATTAGCCATTTGTGTGAGTGCCCCTGCTTCAGTGAATAAGAAGAAGAACAACAGAAGATGATTCCCAATATGAACCTCAGAGCTCTACAAGCACGTTAACATGTGTACATATGCTTGGCACACAAGCGCCAAAAATGTGCATACCAGATACATATTTAGAAAAAAGGTCAAGGTCACCTTCATTTGAACAGAGTTAGGAAGCTTGAAGCCCAGCCTAGGCTACATAAGGGCCTTTTCCAAATAAGATTAAAACGATGTATTTCTACAATGTAATTCTAGTTTCCAAATCAATCACTTGAGTTTTTCTAGAGATGCAGAAGATAATCTTGATGCACCCAGGCGAGCAGAGAGGTGGTATTGCTGCTTTCCTCTGGCTGCATGAAATGCAGAGAGCATGCTCAATAACCTGGCATGCACTGTGCTGGGGTGGCAGCATTTTAGGTACTTGGCAAAAGATGACAGCTCTGCCAGATTGACCGAGGGTGGCATGGTATTTTGTCCTGTTATTCTCTGGTACCTTGGATAACTGGCTAGTTTGCAAGAGCACGGATTTTACCAATGCCTGCAACATAAGTACCCCCATAGCTCTGTTCATCACCCACACATACTACTTTCAAAACTCATGATATCAGCTCAACAAACAAGCCACCATATCTAACATGCAAAGATATTCAGGCACAGGTAGATATGTCTAAATGACCTATCACTCATGCACTAAATGTCTTCCTTATAAATAAAAAGGAGTATAATCTCCCTTTTCCAAAATATGTTGGTTTGTCTATATGTTTGAGACAGGGTCTCGTGCATCCTAGGTTGACCTTCACTTGCTGTGTAACCCAGGGTGGCCATTTACCTGGTCCTCCTTGCCCCATCTCCCTGCTGCTGAGATTATATGCCACCATGCCTGGCTTGCACACTGCAGGGGACTGAATTCAGGGTCTTGTATACCCTGGCCACTGAGCCACAGCCCAGCTCCTCCTAAAACTTTTTAATGATGTATTTATGTATATGAATGTCTGTCTCCATGTACGTGCCCACACCACACGCATGCCTGATGCCCGAGGAGATCAGAAGAAGGCATTGAATCCCCAGGGAGCCACCATGTGGGTGCTGGGAACTGAAGCCAGGTTCTCTGCAAAAGTATCAAGTGCTCTAAACCACGGAGCCATCCCTCCAGCCCCAAATTCCTATAAAGCTTATTTTATAATTGATGGTTTGGGGCTTCTGAGATGACTCTCTGTAAAAGCACTTGCTGAGTAAGGCTGGTGGCATGAGCCCTTGAACTCATGTAAAGTGGAAGGAGAAAGCTGACTCCAAAAGTTATCCTTGGCTTCCGAATGTGCGCCCCTCTCCATCACTAATGAACATATAGACAATACTTTTTCTGGGGTGGGGCATTGAGACAGGGTTTCTCTGTGTTCTGGCTGTCCTGGAACTCACTCTGTATGTAGACCAGGCTGGCCCCAGGCTCACAGAGATACGCCTGCCTTTGCCTTCTGAGTGCTGGGATTAGAAGCAGGTGCCACTACCACCTGGTGACTGTAGAGGGAAATGCTGTCCACGCCCACTTGGGTGTGGTCAGAGTGACGTAGCAAGGCTTTAAATATGAGGGTCACATGCATGTTCCCTCACCTGCCTGGTTGTATATGACTGGCTCCGTTGTGTGAGTACTTCCTAATAATCTGGTTTTCAAACTAGCTCTGACTCCATTGAGAAACACAATCTTTAGGTGACAGTAATTTTTTTTTTTAAGAACTGACACAAACACATACATTTTTAAAAAATCTGTAAGAAATATTAATTGGATGGAAAGATGGCTCAGGCACTGTTCTTTCAGAGAATTTGAGTTCAGTTCCCAGCACCCACAGCAGCGGCTCACAACCATGTGTAAGTCTTTGGGGAGTCAACACCCTCAGCAGACAAGAGCACGGGCTGCTCTTGCAGAAGACCTGGATTCAGTTCCCAGCACCCACATGGTGGCTCACAAGCTCAGTAATGCCAGTTCCAGGAGACCTGATGCCCTCTTTTGGCTTCTGTAGGCACCAGGCACACATTGGTGCACAGGCATTACGTGCAGGCAAAACACTGATGCACACAAAACAAAAAACAAATCTTTAAAAATGTTTCTGAGACGGCCTACGAGGCAGTGGCTGTAAGCAGATGTCCCAGGGGTCTTTCTTCCTGTCACTTGTCTCCAAATACCAGCAGTCATATGACCACACATCTGCCTGAGTTCCTGATACCTACACGGCAGGGAACAACTTTCTTCATCCTCTGAAGTAACTGGGGTCTTGCTGAACTCACATAAAGTTTAGGGCCTGCCAAGTACTAATTCAGCATTCCATAACTCCAGTTTATATGCAGGAAGTAGCTACAAAAACTGATGGGGCTCAAGCAGTTAGTGTCCCTGTACAAAAGGAGTTCTGGAAAAGTGACTTGCTACTGAAGGGACAGAAAAGTCCACAAAACTAAGGTTTGGCTCAGGGTAGCCAAGGCAACTGTGACATCACAAGTCCTCAAAGAGGGGTGGGAACAATGGCCTCACCACCACGTTTGGGATTGTGTCCGTTAGTGAGGAGGCTCTGGTCACTATTAATTCCCACTACTTTAAAGGAGTGTCATTATCACACCAGCCCCTAGCAAACAGTCTGGTTAGTAACCAGCAACATGAACAATACATGGAGGGGGTTCATGGTGTTTCTGGGACAGATATTAAGATATGGTGATAACAGAAGAGAGCCTACAGCGTGTCTTGGTTACTGTCAAAGACCAAGCCCTAATGAGAATGGACAAAAGAAAAGAGGCTATAAAGAGAACCCAAGGAACCCAGAACAATACATTTCAAAGGTCCACCAAGTCCTGGACAGGGACAGGCACAGTACCAACACTTCAGAAGTCAGCAATGGCATTCTCTTCACTTGGCTGACTCGGCACAGCAGCAAAGCAAGAAGCACCCTTTAATTTAGACACAAAAGGAGTGGCGCCACCTCATAGCTCATCCAGCTCTGTAAGCAGAGACCAAACGCCCCCCTTATAAACACACACCCCAGGCCTCCTGAGAGCAGAAAATGTGGGTACTCGGGGCAAGCAAGCATGGAGTGACTCCTGACCTGCAGAATGAGAACAAAGTAGTCTACAGGCTTGTTTCGCTGGTAGAGGTAGCACTCGGGGGCCTTCTTGTTCTTCTCGTCATACTTCAGCTCCTGGATGACATTGGGGTGCTTTAGCAGCCTGAGGAGGATCTTCTCTGACATCTGGGATGGGCTAAACGCTTCTACTTCTATAGACATAAACACAACTTGACATTACACTTCAAAGAAGGGCAACTGAGGTGCTCAGATCGGGAGAACACTTGGCGACACGGGAAACACGGATGAACCAGACTTCCGTTTGGTGATCCACTGGGGTCAGATTACCTGGGAGAAATTACAACAGTGGTACACTCATGTCTGGTCCTTTTTAATCTTTCCTTTTCAACCTGCCATTGGTTTCTGTCTCTTGTGAGTGCCCTACACCTCTGATTGATTCAGTAGCAGACTCCCTCCTTGAGTCAGGACACTCTTCAGCACAAGCCACAACAGTCTGGCTGTTCACCAACAGCCAAGGGAGGAACTACGGACGGACGGACGGACGGGAAGCAGTGAGGGTTGGGGGTTAGTGCCAGTGCATAGGCCTGGGCTCCACCTGCTGCTCTCCCACACTGCTCTTCCTGAGGAACTGCAGGGACCACTGAGGGAGAGATTCAGAATAAAAGCAAGGCCGTGCACACACCAACATGCACTCTGACTTGCCAACGAAAAAGGAAATGGTTGGCACCGACAAAGACAGTCACTTCATTGAAAATAACAGGGAAGTCAAAGCTGCTGACTCTGGGGTGCTATCGGAAATGTGGACTTCGTGGTCTCTCAGAGGCAGAGTAGGGTAACACTGAGTTTTAAGTGTGGTTCTTCCACAGTGAGCAACAATGGGACCAGAGTAGGAAGAGAATCATAGCACAATGTTGTAAATTAGATGCTGTACATAAAAGCTACAGATTCTGGATTCCCGTCTGTGACTTTTTCATACTTAAGACAGCACATTGCAGGGAATTTGGAAAATACAGAAAAATAAAGAAGATAAAAATCATCTGTAAGCTGACTGCTTGGATTCAGAGTAATTTGGTGAGTATTTCTTTCCAGTGCTTTGCCTAGGCATGTGTGCCTATGTACATGTGTGCCTGTGTACGTGTGTGTGTGTGTGTGTGTGTGTGTGTGTGTGTGTGTGTGTGTGCCTGTGTGCGTGTGTGTGTCTGTGTGTGTGTGTGTGTGTCTGTGTGTCTGTGTGTCTGTGTGTGTACACACAGAACCACAAGTGTGGTCTTGGCATACACATACTCTGATATCCAGGGGTTCCTACTAAACAGGAAGTCATGGACACTTTCCCATGTCACAAATGTGAAGTTAGCATGCCCATGTCTCTGACAGTAGGTGACATCCTGCCACGTGTTGCTGCTGACCTTTCAGGGCATTTGTATAAGCACACTGCATGTGGCTGAAACTTACTGGCCCATCTTGGAAACAGATGTCTTCTGCAAGCCTCTGGGAGCTTCCAGATTTTTCTCACACTTCCCCTGGCCAACAGAGCTAACCCTTCACCTTAGAGGACTGTTTGGGGATGTGAGAGGGTTAGCCAGTCTCTTAGGTCTTTCACCCTTGACCACTTGGAAGCAGGCAGTGCTGGCTGGCCTGGTGGCTTTAACTATGTGAACACTTGCCTCTGGATGGGACCCAAGTTAACAATCTGACTTGAAGCCACCAAGAAATCAGGCCAAACTTGAAAGATCTTTCATTTCATCAAAACCATAAACAATAAGGATTTAATTCTGCATGTCTGTTTTTCTTTGTGAGTTTTAGCACCTGCGTTACCACTGGTGTCCAACTGTTCTTCCAAGGCAAGCTGAAGAGAGAATTACTCAACTGTCCAATCAAACGAGGTGGTGCCTGGTTTGCACTGTCAGCCTACTCCGCCAGCTGGCTCACCCGTGGGGCTTAGCTGGAAGTAGATGACCTGGCCTACCGTACACATGCAGTGTGGCACTAACATTCATCCTTACCTTTCAGACCAATTTTAAGTTACTGGTCCACCCCTGGCAAATGTCTCAGAGGGTTCATGCCGACACTGAACACAGGAGAGGAGAGAATTTAAAGAGAACAAAACAAACAGAACAAAAACAAAAACAAAAAACAAAACACAAAGTGGCATTACTTGTCACCCCATTTCCCAGCCCCCACCCCCAGCCCCCCACAGTCAGCATGGTGAGGAAGGCTCCAGGGCCTGCAGATCTCATACTGTGATAAGCACACTTGCCTGTTGCTAGGAAACGGTGCATGGCCAGGAGAAGCTGCGGTGATATTTTAACCTTCATCTCGCTATCCGTCTGCTTAAAGGCAGAGAAATCTTGCTTTCTTTCACGGTGGGCCACTTTCTTTTTTGTTCTGTTGTCAGCTGAGAGGGGAATGAGGAAAGAAAAAACAAAACAAAACAAAAAAACAAAATCAGGGCCCTTTATCGATAAAAGACGCAAAACACACTGTTTTGATCTCTCCAGAGACCAGTGGGCCAGGCAGAGAGCACAAGCACTCCTGGGTCCACAGTAAGGCACAGCGGGAAACTGTTCTGCCTTAGAGAGGCCCTGTGGGACTGACTGAGCAGACACGACAAACCCCACAAGGAGCACACAGAATCACATAGCAGCAAACTGGCCTCAAGTGCTACCAAACCACTCCAGAGGAAGAACTGCCACAGGCTACACCTGAGGGAAGTTGTCTGTGCCTTGTAGAGGGCCTCTCAGCCTCAGGTGAAAGAAAATAAACATGGAAGAGATTCCTCAAGAAGAACAAGTCTCCTTCCAGGAACGCCTGCTCATCACCGCTGCTTCATTCGGGCCCAGACTATGAGATGGTCAAGGTCAGGCAATCATGGGGGTGACCCAGGAGGAATGAACCAGCCTCCTCTGGAAAAGGCCAGAGAGGAAGTACTCAGGCTCCAGCTTTTGTTGCTGACTCAGAGCTGCTCCTCTTCAAAAGCAACCATGGGCAAGCGAACCTGCACAGCCATGCTTTAGGGAAACTTCACTTTTTGTTTAATTTCTACAAGTCAAAGTAATTATTCTCCTATTGGATTTTTTTTTTCTGTCATTAATCATCATGAAAGGCCACTGCTGCCTTGTAGGACATATATGAAATCAGGTGGCAGGCACTCATGGGCTATGGTTTGCCAACCCCTGATCTAGAAGGGATCTCCAACAAAGCCATTTTTTTTTTCCAGAGTAAGTGCTGATAAAGAAAAACCCAATGTGACAAGACCGCAGCTGTGTATAATGGGGTACACTTGTAACCCCAGTCCTCAGAAGGAAGGCTAAGGAGGGAGAATTATACAGTCAGAGCTAGCCTGGGCTAAGGAAGGAGAATTATATGGTCAGAGCTAGCCTGGGCTAAGGAAGGAGAATTATACAGTCAAAGCTAGCCTGGGCTAAGGAAGGAGAATTATATTGGTCAGAGCTACCTGGGCTATAGTGTGAAACTCCATCTCAAATATCACTTCCTCAAAAAGAAAGAAAGAAAGAAAGAAAGAAAACAGAACAATAAAGGACAAGGTTCCAACTGTTGTCTCTGCCCCCCAGGGTCGGAATCACCATTCCATCTCTTGTCCAGGGTTAAAAAGTCAATGACTTGGCCTTCTGTGAGGGTTCTACACTCCTGTCTCAAGATATTTTGAAAATTGGAAAGTATAAGTCCATATAAAACTTTAAAAAGTTCTCTAATGGTAAGTAGCTGTTATTGTGGCTGACCTCACCTAGATAGAGACTAACCCTCAAGTTCAGCCTTTCATACCAAGAGGTCATGACATGCAACACTTCTCCACAAACTGAGTCCCCTCACTGGGGGCTTAGTAACATTTAGTAACATTTCCATAAAAAGAAAATCTAAGATTTGATAAGCATTTATATTGTCTTCCCAATGGCAAGTGCTACCCCAGGGTAAACAGAAATATACAGATACACATTCCATCTGAATGAAACGGGCCAGTGACATGGCTCAGTGGGTGAAATACTTGTTCCACAGTTTAGCAACCTGAGCTGGAGCTTAGAACTGTATGGGGGGGGATGCTCCCCGCACCTGCTCTCTGCTAACTTCCACACGTGTGGGCTCACATACATTGTACAGGATCACAGGATCACATTGGCATGATTAACTTTTCAAAGAACCTCATATGGGGCTGAGAGGCGCCTCAGAGGCTAGGAGCACTGGCTGATCTTCAATTCCCAGCACCCACAACCATCTGTCATTCTGGTCCCAGGTGATCTAGTGCCCTCTTCTGGCGCTGTTGGGTACTGCATGCAAGTGATGCACATGTGCGGGTGAAACCCGCGTACATAAAATAGAGAGACTTAAAAAGAGAGACTCATCTGATAGAGGGGGGTGAGGCTGGGTCCCCTTGTGCAGAGCACCAGTTGTGCGTGCCACTGAGACAGTGCAGATCCAACGCTCAGAGGCCAAGTTCACGGCTGCGACTGCCCCTGCCTGATTTACACTCTCACATTCCCATCTGCCCTTTAAGAAGGTCATGAAGCAGACAACAAGAAAGCCATATTCTCTGTGTGTACGCGGGCATGGTGTATGTACCTGAGCATGCGTTGTTGGAGGGTAGAGGTCGCATGTGCTCAGCCTGTGCTGCCTCCCGTGTTTACTTGCTTATCTGGGAAAGGGGGTATCTTACTGAGCCTAGAGCTCACCAACTGGCTGGAGGAGTCACCACCCCTCAACATTTCTGAGCCTCTGCCTCCCAGCACTGGAATCATTGGCACCAACACCATCCCCAACTGTTATGTGGGTGCTTGCAAGCCACACCCTATGCTTGCACAGCAATCACTCTACCACCTGAGCGGTCTCCACAGCTCAGGCATTCTTATTGCACACATCACTGAGAGCCAAAGCTGTGTCCCATCTACCAATTTAACTAAACAAATTCTCTTGTTAAATATGTGAATTATAAATGTAAGGAGAAACAAAATTATTCAAAAACACTTTGCCAGCGAAGAAGGATGTAAAATTGTCTAAAAAACCGACAGACAACAGTTTCCTGTCTTGGGTGTGAAACCATGGCCAGGAGAAGCTGTCTATGGAGGAGAAGCTGCCTATGGAGGAGAAGCTGCCTATGGAGGAGAAGCTGCCTACGGAGGAGAAGCTGCCTATGGAGGAGAAGCTGCCTATGGAAGAGAAGCTGCCTATGGAGGAGAAGCTGCACTCACTGTCACCGATCCGCCTCTTCTTCCACTTTGTGACGGCACCATGTGACACTGAGAGGCAACACTCAACCTGCACGCACACTGTGTAATTATAACAGAGGGCCCAACACCGGGGAGAAGTATTTAAATGGTGGGCTGGCAGCACCGAGAGTCCTGGGCCACACAGACACTGTCACTTACTGTACAGGTCTGTCTCATCCAAGATTTCAGATTTGATGATCTCTTCAATCACATCTTCCAAGGTGACAATTCCTAGAACTTCGTAAAATGGGTCCCCTTCCCCCTCGTTGTTCACTCGCTGCACAATGGCCAGGTGAGATTTACCTTTAAAGACAGAAGACAAAGTTGCAGAGGTCATTTTCCAGGTTCCTTAGCAGGCTCCTCAGACACCTTATGAACAGCAGGGGAGCAAACTCAGGCCTTGTATGTTCTATCGCTCTGCCAGGTCAAGCACTGGCTGTCCTCCTCATCACTCTCCAAATTACTTATGGAGACAAGCTCTCTACCTGATTCTCCGAGTTGGTTGGCCAGTGAGGACCCCTGGATCCCTCCTCCTGTCTCCACCTTCCCAGAGCTGTGGTTAAAAAGCACACATCGCTGTACCTGGCATTCTCTTTCATTTGCATGTGCACATATGTATGATATGTGTATTGTGTCTGCTTGCATGTGTGTGGGCACATATGTGTGTGAAGGCCTGAAGTTGACATCAGGCAGCCTCCTCCATCACTATTTACTTTACTGGGGCAAGGTCTCCCAATAAACCCAGAGTTCACAGAATATGGCTGGTTCCCCAGGTTTCCCGTCTCTGCCGCTGGAGGCCACCATGCCTGCCCAACTTGTATACAAGCTTTGAGGATCTGAACCCCAGTCTTCATGATTACGTAGCAAACACTGCCTACTTACTGAGACATCTTCCTAGCCCTCGTACCTTGTTTTTTTATATGGATGCTAGGGATTTGAACTCAGTTCCTAACATTTGTGTAGCAGAGCCCTTTATTCATAGAGCTATGGTCCACAGTTCCCCTGACAGCATTTTTTTTTTATTTGCAGAAAAATTAGATAGTGAGGTATTAAAATCTACATTTCAGCATTTAACAGTGCTGTCAATGCCACAATCAAATGGACCAGGCTTCCTGAGCCACTGAAGTGATACTGAGTAGTACCGTTGTCCACAGGCTGCCCTGTACCTAGCTAGCTCTTTGCTTCCTGATAGCACTCGACACCATCAGCTCTTCCTCTGAGATGCATTAACAGTTCTCTCTAAAGGAGAGAGACAACCATGGATCTCCAGGGAGGTCTGAGGCCCTGGAGGCAGTGTCATGTCCTCCCAAGTACTAAAATGTCACTGGCCTTCTCCACTGTGCAGATTCTGGACCACAGTGCAGAGACTCCTTGCTTGTTCCAGAATGCCACCACGGAAATAAGCAGCACCCTCACTACCCACCAGCACACACCGCAGTAGGAGGGGAGAGGCCCTGTCTCTCGGAAGGTCCTCACCACAGCAGTATGGGCATTCTTCTTGACGACCTGGGACACACAACACAGTCTACGTAACAACAGTTGTGTTGAGAGAAAGGTGCGGTGTGGTTGGCTGAGAGTTGCCTTCAACACACTTTACCTTTTGTGGTGCTGTAGAACGAACCCAGGACCTCACACATGCCAGCCTAAGGCTTTACCATTGAGCAGGACAAGCTGATTTCATTAAACATCACTTTTAGTTGATAGAATGACTACATGACAAACTGAGGTTTAGATACAGGTAGACATTTTGAAGGGAATGAACAAAGTGAACTTACTTTATCAAGAAAAACCATGGGCAGAATTTAATGTTAATAATTAAAAAATTGTAATTTCAGTAGAAAATTATAATTCTAAGAAACTCACATCCACCATCATGACTTTGTCTTTTGTTGTTTGTTTTTCAAGACAGGGTTTCTCTGTGCCACAGCTCTGGCTGTCTTGGAACTCACTCTGCAGACCAGGCTGGACTCCAACTCATAGAGATCTGCCTGCCTCTGCCTCTGCCTCCCGACTGCTGGGATTAAAGGTGTGTGCCATCACTGCTCAGCTCATTATCATGATTTTGATACCTTCTTAGTGTGTGTGTGTGTGTGTGTGTGTGTGTGTGTGTGTGTGTGTGCGCGCGCGTGTGTGTGTGTGTGTGTGTGTGTGTGTGTGTGCGCGCGCGTGTGTGTGTGTGTGTGTGTGTGTGTGTGTGTGCGTGTGTGTGTCCGAGAAATATGAGTGTGCCTATGGAGGCCAAATGCGTCTCTTCATTGATACTTTCCTACTGTTTAAGACAAGGCATCTTGCTGAACCTGAAGCTAGACTGGCTACATTGCCAGCCTGTCAGTCCTTAGAGCAGGGCTGGTGTTACAGGCCCTATGTCCTGCCAAGCCCTGCTTCCTACGAGCTGGAGATCCAAGCCCAGGGTGTCATCATTTCACAGCAGGCATTTTTAAGATTTTATTTATTTATTACGTATACAGTCTTCTGCCTGCATGCCAGCAGAGGGCACCAGATCTCATTACAGATGGTTGTGAGCCACCATGTGGTTGCTGGAAATTGAACTCAGGACCTCTGGAAGAACAGTCAGTGCTCTTAACCACTGAGCCCTCTCTCCAGCCCCATAGCAGCATTTTAACCAGCAAGCCATTTCCCCAGCCCTCAGTAAGCACTTCTTTGATGGGATGGGTGGTCACGAAGCAACCTTTAAAACAATGAATAATCTGCTGCAGCAACTTTTGAAAGATATACAAAATTGGGTGAGCCAATTCTTTTTAGATTTGTATGTTTTTTATTTTATGTGCTGGGTGCTCTGCATGCATGTATGTCTGTGTAGCACAAGTATGCCTGGTGCCCATGAAGATCAGGAAAGGATGTTGGACCCTGGAACTAGAGTGGGAACTAAACCCAGGCAGGTCCTCTGGAAGAGCAGCCAGTGCTTTTTTTTTTTTTTTACTGCTGAGCCATCTCTCCAGCCTAGCTAATTTTTCAACTGACTATGGCAATAACGTGAGAATTATGCTTGGATAAATAACCCCTAGTACAAGATGGAACAATGGACCTTTAGAAGGGTTTTGTTTATTTATATTATTTTTATATGAGTGTTTTTATGTGGGTTTGTGCATGTGAGTGCAGGTGTCTGTGGAAGCCAGAGGAAGGCATCAGAACCCCTAGAACAATGATGCAGGCAAGTTTGTGTACCCAGAGGCTTCTAGAAGAGCATTATGTTCTCTTAACTGTTGAGCTGTCATCTTTCCAGCCCCACAACACACTTTAAAAAGATTAACATTAGCAGATGAGTAAGGGCTGAGGCAGGTGGAATGCCATGAGTTCTGGGCTAACCTGGGCTACATAGACAATGTTTCAAAAAAGAAAACAAAAAGCAATTTTGCATATACACACCTGCGCTTTCTCTCTCTCTCTCTCTCTCTACACACACGCACGCACGCACGCACGCAGGCAGGCACGCACGCACGCGCGCGCAACAAAATTAAAACAAACCAAAACTAAAAAAAGAAAACAATTTTAGACTTACAGAAAAGTCACAAAGCCCATAATGAGAATTCCTACAGACTCTTCACTGGGTTCCCATTGTTACACCTTGCATTACCATGACACAGCTGTCAAACTAAGACACTGTCATCAATATATTATGACTCAACTCCAGACACTTTGTTTGGACTTCACTGATTTTTTTCAATTTTTTTTTCCTGCTTCATTGTCCAGTACCCCACTGTCCAGCTGCCATGTTGCCCTGGTCTCCTACAGCCTACAACAGCTGCTCAGTGTGTGTTTCATGACTTTGATCATCTTGAGGTGCGGTGCTCAGGTCCCCTGTAGTCACTAACCCTATCTCACCTCCCAAAGAAGGAGACAAACAAGTCGGTTCTGTGTGGATTGGTTGCAGAGGGGATATTCCCCATATATTTCTCAAAATTCTTCTGAAAGAGTGTTAACAGGACAGAGTCCCCAACACCCATCAGTAGGACTTCAGGTCTACAGCACAGACAACCTGTAAGAACTTCTACTGGGCAGAGTGTGCTGTGTACACCTTTAATCCTAGCACACGGGCCAGCCTGGTCTACACAGTCAGTTTTAGGACAGCTACAGCCTTTTGAGAGGCCTTGTCTCAAAAGCAAAGAAACAAAACATCCACTGGGCTAGGCAAGTGGCTCAGTCAATAAGGCGCCTACCCGGCCAGCACCAGGACCAGAAGATCGAGCTCCAGAACCATGTTAAAAGCTAAGCACAGTGGCACATGTCTGCAATGCCAGTTTGGGGGCAGCAGAGATCCAGGCCCCTGACACTCAACTAGCCTACTTGTCTGGATGCATCCATGAGCTTCAGGACCATGAAACCGTTTCAAAAAAAAAAAGTAAAAAATGATTGAAGAAAGAGACCCAAAGTCTACCTCAGGCCTCGACACAGGCAAATGCAGATACTTACACTAACAAGTACCTCCAACACACACACCCCACACTGAAGAAAAGGAGTTTGAGTATAATGTCAAATGTTGTGAAAACTTATACCATCCCTTTCCAAATACCTATCTGTGCGAGGCCAGACGTGTCTCCTCTACTCCAGCAGATACAGCACTGCACAGCGAAGGCGGGAGTCTGAGTCCAGCTCCGCTGATAATGCAGACACAAGAACATCTAAACACGACATTACTCATAGTTTTCTGTTTTGGAAAACAGCTATATTTAGTAAAAATGCTGTTTATGTTAACACACAATGGACTCATTATTGGCCTTTAAAATGGCTTGGCAGGTAAATATGTTTTAAGTTGCATGGTTTTAAATTCATATACAGTAAATATCAAAAGTTATAATTCATATAAACAGAAGTTTAATGTGGTTTTAATTAGTCATTTGTGTGTGTGTGTGTGTGTGTGTGTGTGTGTGTGTGTGTGTGTGCGCGCGCACGCGTGCGTGCGTGCATGCATGCTGCATGGGGGTCAGAAGGTGGCCTTTGTGAACTTGGAGTCAATGCTCTTCTGCCTTCAGGTGGGTTCCTGGAACTGACTTCAGGCTTCCCAGCAAGTGCCTTTATCTGCTGAGTCATCTCTCTGGCTCCGTCAATAATTTTTATGACTCTAAAAGATCTGTTAAATTCAACAAATTAAGAGGACCCCGTGACAGTGTTTTGTGTTGCTGCTTTAGGGGTTGGGGAGGGTCAAGGAAGAACTTGGGCTCCCAAGTTCAACAGTCTTGGATTTGAACTCCAGCAACTGGTGCCCCTCACCCCAACATCAGCTGTTGATAACCAAACAGGAGCATTTCTGAGCTCCAGTTTCCTTATCTCTCAAACCAGGCTGT